ATCACACACATGTTCTATAGTATTTTTGCTTAATAAAAATTGGTTTTCAACCCTACTTGATATACATGAGCTATTGAATCAACTTTCATTGTGCATTTTTATTGATCATTTTAAGTTACAAGAAATTTATCTACACATTCTATCACATACATTAATACATAAATATGATGCTCATGACATGTTTTAGTAATTGATTTAGAGTGTAACACAGAGGGTGTTACACTTGTGGAGCACAATAGACTGGGAAATTCAACCAAGCCATTCATGAAAAAAGCTCCAAAAATCTTCTCTTAAATCACAAGTTTTTTTCCCACAGTGATACAAAAAATCCTGGACGATCATTGTGAACGCCGCATCAGCCTGATAACTACATTCGCCACCGATTGTACGGTGCTCTCAACATCACTGGCAACTCCAAAAGCAAGGCAACAATGAACCACGCTATGTGTGGAGTGGAGAATTTTATTTTCCACATGGTAAAGGCAGCCAACAAAAATTTGTTGCGCAAGGCGGTTGCGGCTCGCAACGAGACACTACGGGCTATTTTAGGTCATGGTGGGAGATTGCGATATTTCGAGCTCGGAGAAATTTCAAACCACTTTAGTTAGTACTAGAAAGGTTTTTTCAGATAGGTACATGTATATATACTTGATACTTTGATAGGGACCAATTGGTTGAGTATTTTGCAAATCATTGTGGCCATTGTCGTCCCTGCGCACTAATCTTTCTTCTTCTTGTTGTTGGGTCTTGATTGATGGAGATTATCAGACTAGCACATTCTGAAACGAGGTTGTTTTCGTGTTTGATCAGGTGTAGCTGTTCATCGGATATGGATTTGAAGTCATATTTTGAGTGTTCTTTGGATGTGCTGGGGGGGAGCTAACTCTAGCTCTTTCTGAAAAAATCATGAAAGGTGAACGTAGTTCAAGGTATGTAGAGAAAGATTTTGCTTTATTGGAAATGCACCAATCAATTGTAATCTTTTCGTCTGACTTGAAATTTAATGCAAAATGTATTATTTGGGATTTCAAAAAGCCACAATGCAAAGTGTTTTCATGTAATAAATCTTATATCGTTATAAGAACCATGATATTACTAAAACTACTGTTTTTTTTAGTTTTATAAACTCTAACCGAGTACTGTGTTTTTTTCTTCTAAAACTGCAATATCCAAACAGGTCATAAACGTTCTGCCTTACCGGTACCTAACATTATAAAATTAAAACTAATCTATGATAGATGGTCACAATCTGCAAAAAGGCCGTGGACCGTCTAACGGTTACATAGTGAATAGCAGTTGGGGCATGCTAGAATCGCCGACCGAATCCCATTGCCCTCACCTCGCGTTCTCCATCATGCAAACATCAAAGTGAAGGAATCGATCAAGAGGGATGCAGCATGCATGAGAGGCCCAAAGGATGACTCAAAAGTCACCTTTGCTGATCCAGCGTGTGTGATGCGGTGGTTTGCGACATAGCAGCATGGACCATTGTATCTAGTAAGATTTGTTGCAGTTGCAGGCTTGCAGCTAGCGCTTAGACCTACCATGATACTTAACCGAAAGCCGACAATGGCATAAGCTTTACGTTACTAAAGCCAAAGTGCCTGAACCGACTGCAGGTTGCCCATGACTGACGAATGAGCTCGCGGCTACCACCAAGGCTCCACGAGATCTCTGGGGATCTGGCGCGAATTTGACCTGAGCAGGACACGTTTGGGGCCTCATGGCCGGCCCCGTTCGTCCCAAGGAATCCGACGACGACGCCTCCTTGGCTCCCTGCGATCCGCCGCTGCCATTGGCGACAGCGACCGAGTTGCTGGAGGTGGAGGATCCACGCTGAAACTGTGTGAATTCTAGGGGTTTTCCTCTCGGAAACAGGATAGAAAATGGCAGGCAGGACAACATCCATCGTGCGGAGGAGAGCTATTGCACCAACCATATCCTATCCCTTCCCCCGCCCACTTCCCCTGCTCCCTTCCCCTCAGAATTAGGTTTCATCCAGCACCAGTGGCAGTGTGTCACCGGCGGGAATGCTGTCGCTGTTGCCTGTTGGTGCTGAATCGGTGGGGCGTGGTGCACAATGTACAACACCCATACCAAACTGGCTCAGACGATTGCCTAAATGCTGCGTGTATATATATATATATATGCACAATGGCGATCTGGCATTGGCAAACTTTACACATAGATGTGTCCTAAAAAGATCGAGAGAGTGGAGTCTCCGGTATAAGCTTTTCGGTGAATTGGTACTCAGCTCAAAACTGACGCTGATGAGATCATTAGGCAAGGCCAAGGCATTTGTTGCCAACACTGGCGCGCGCACTGTACTTTTGGCAATTGGCGTCGTGCTGGCACACGCGATGATATTCCGGACGTTTTGTCCTGTGCTACATAGGAACTTGTTTGGTTTCAATTCAAGAAAGAAAAGACGTTCAGCCAAATTAATGAATCAGCGAAACCGACGAATCTTTTTGCTGTTTGGTGCATGGCACGCCATGTGCCGACTCTGCTGCACCGAAAGGAAACCAACAGCGTAGCAGTTTTCAGGTACAGTTATAGCTCCCGCTTGATCCAAACGCTAATCACAGGTTTTAGCCCAGATAGGTACACTTTTAATTAGAGAACACCTGCTGATGGAACAGACGGCCGCCTGTATCTCATATGCTGGATTGAATAGTAGTCACAGAGTTGTCAAATAAACAACAACAGAGAATAGTAGTAGTTGAATTCCATATAGGTAGAGGCCGAGCAAGCACAACTAACCCACGGGGCAGGGGAGCCCAGCCAGCAGGTGCATGCTTTTGAGTCAATTGACAGGCACAAACAAACCACCAAAACTTTTTTTTTAAAAAAAATCAGTCAGGACAATTACCTTGGGAAGCTGATACGTGTTTGTACGCATGCATCGAACGCATGAATGAAACTCCTATATATAAAAAAAAAACTCGACCTGCGGATGAGACCGCCTCAAACATCGTGCTTAAGAAGAAGACATTTTTAGATCTGTGCTTTGAAGTGGGGTAGACGAGAGATTTTTTTCAACGCACAGATAAACTACACCTCCTCCGCCACAAATCCGCCCCCAGGAGGTTCAAACCAACAAATCCGCCCCCCGCACAAGGAGATTCGAAAACTCTGACCCGACAAAGTATAAATACGCGCACGTATGCGCCAGACCAACTGATGTAAACGCGTTCGTTGCATAGAAACGTCCAAATATATATATTTATAAATTTAGAAGTACTTAGAAAGAACAACTACAACTTCCTGTCAGGAGTTGTGTACGAACACGTATAATAAATCCACGATAGGTGACCACGCGTGCCCTTTAGAAATTGTCTTCGCTGAATTTTCTTTTTCCCACCAAAACTACCAGAGCTGTGACCTCATCTGTCTCAGCACATTCCCCAGTGGGAGAGTGCCCTACTTCCGTTGCATCATTCCGTTGCATCATTTGAGCATGTTCGCTGGTTGGTTTCTGGACTGATAAACTCAGTTGATGCTAGTTTGTTGTGAGAGAAAAACACTGTTGACTGACTAATAAGCCTTGATTGAAATCATCAAGCGAACAAGCTGATTGTCAACTCACTCCCAAACCCAAGTGCCCAATTAACGAGCAAGCATTAAGTTTTAGGCCACTGATTCTCTACTAATATCCGGTACACTCCACGGGGCCCATTCCCCACTGATTTGCCCTCCTCCACTCTCTGCTAGCTCTCATCATGCTCCTCAACCCACAAATAATTAGGTTAGATTAGTAGTAGATTTGAGGGGTGTGATTACTTATTAGCGACCGGACTCTTCCTCTTTATATATAAATCATGTGATGAGCCTGCTGGCTGAGGCACGCATGGATGAATCATTGGCATGTGGACAAAGCCCCACCTGATGTATTAAAAGGCCTTCAAACAAACCGGCCAGCTTGGCCGGGTGCTTAACCCTTCGCCGGCTGAGCTATCACGCGCTGAAATTAATCATCATTATCGTGCTTGCGTCGCCCATCAGCTAAAAAGAAGAGGGGTTAGCATAAGCGATTAAATTATGGCACGGTAGAGGTAGCAAAAAAGTATGGACTCTGGTTCGTGTCACGTCTCTCGTGACATATATCGGTCGCTTAGTGTAAAAGGGTTACGCACTTGCGACTGACGTAACCACCCTAGCTAGAGGTGTTTGGATAAGAGAGAAATTCTTCCGGTTTAGCGAGAATTTTATTATATAAGGGTTCTCGATCAGGATGCTCTGATCCGCAGTTGCATGAGATGTTACATGTTTGATTCCTAATTGAATAACCGAGAGAGGACTAGGCTTGGAATATTCATATAGCTACTTCTAATAAGGAGGATGGAGCAACACATTTTTGCCGGAAAGCGAATTCCAAACAGACCACAGCTACCTGACTTGTAAAATCATCCAGCTTACGGCAGGTCCAAAGACCCTCTTTTTTAAGTTTTTTTTTAACCAACGGCAGGTCCAAGACTGATGTTTCAGCTGACGAGCTGAATCAGCAAGGCGAAGGATATTCTCTGCAAATGCAACCTTTGCTTCTCTTCTTTCTCAGGAGTATATACTAAATAATAAAATGTCCAGGAAATGTTCGGGATCTCTAAAAAGATACAAATACGCCTTTGCCTTTCTCTATCTATAGAAAAAACTATTAGTCGTATATGTATAATCTGTTATATACTGTATGTATTTGTGGTGGCTCATATATAGACGCGATGAACATTAGCTACAGGTAAAGGCGTACGTATCTCATTACAATTACATGCTCTAATTACTTGATTACAACAGTAAAAAAAGATATTAAAAGGAAACGAAAAGAAAAGCTGTGTCATGGAGAGAGGTTTGACCTCTATACTAATAAGTGGAAGAGAGCAGTAACAGGCTACTCCACCTACAACCACAGAGAGGTCACTATTGCGGTAGCGGCGCCGCCTCCCCATCTACTTGCCGGCCGGCGGCGTCCGGGCCCGGGCCGGCGCCGACCAATACGATCGATCTCACATGATGCTGCAGGCGTTGGGGTTCTCGTCGTCGAAGATGCGGTACGAGTCGTGCATCGGCGACGCGTGCATCCCGGGCGGGCTGTAGTGGTCCTGCTGCTGGTAGTAAGGCTCCGCCGGCTCCGAGTGCGGGTACGGCATGTACAGGTACGACGGCGACCACTGCTTTTCCGGCTGCGGCTGCGGTTGCTGCGCGGAGTACGAGTACGCCGGCTGTGGCTGGTGCACGGAGTAGTACGCTTGATGCGGGTGTGCCTGTTGCATGGAGTACGCCGGGTGTGCCTGTTGCATGGAGTACGTGTACGACACGCTCGAGCTCGGGTGCGACGCGTGGTAGCTCACCACCGGCTGCGGGGCGTAGTAGGGGTGGCGGTACTCCTGCTCGTACGCGTGCTTTGGCGCCGGCGCCGGCGGCGCAGGCAGGGACCTCTCCGTCGTCACGGCGGCAGGCTCGGCCTTACCGGCGTCCTTGGGCTTGTCGCTCTTCTTTGCCTCGTCCTTGTCATTGGCAGCGGCGGCGGGTACGGCGGCGGCGGCTTCCTTTGCCGGCTCTGCTGCGGCCTTGGCCTTCGTCTCAGCTCCCTTGCTGTCACCGCCGTCCTTCTTCGCCTCCACTTTCTCCTCATTCTTTGACTCTGCTTCGGGCTTCTTCTCTACGGCCCCGCCCTCCTGCTCCGGCTTCTTCTTCTTCTCCGCCTCCTTTGACTCTGCTTCGGGCTTCTTCTCTTCGGCCCCGCTCTCCTGCTCCGGCTTCTTCTTCTTCTCCTCGGAGCTCTCGCCCTGCGGCTCCTTCACCGGCTTCACCGCCTCCTCCGGCTTCTTGTCCGCCGCGGCCGCAGCAGGAGCAGCGTCCTTGCCGCCGTCACCGGCAGGCTTCGGAGCCGGCGGGGCCTCCGGCGCGGCCTCGGTCTTTTTGGCGGGCGGGTGGCACTGCCAGGGCTCTCCCTTCTTGCCGGACTTGTACAGCTTCTGGATGAGCGTGTCGGCGTCCACGGTGCCAACCACAGTCACCTTGTGCTGCGAGGCGTCCACCGTCACGTTCTGCACGCCTGAAAACAATCACCAACCAGAACCACCCCGTTAATTTCAGCCAAAACAGCCCAAAATGTATGCAAAAACCTGCCGACTCGCGCGAGAAGGCACGTATTTTCAGACTGCTAGGCACGCACCTTCGATGCTCCTGAGCACCTTCCGGACCTTCTTCTTGCAGCCATGGCAGTGGATGGCCACCTTCAGCACCACGGTCTGGAAAGAACAGAGGAATCAAGGGGTTAGCATTACACGACCTAACAGTCAAATTATCAGCTCATATGATGATATGGGATCGAAGAGCATTCGAGAACTTTTGGGGGAGGTGAGAAAGGCATGGACGGACGCTCACCTGAACGCCAGGGGCCGCCGCAGCTCCTGACGCCATGGGGAGCGCTCTGGAGACTGGTCGCTCTGCCTGTTCGGCCACGAGGGGAGCAGAGGAGCTCGGCTAACGTGGCTTTCTGGCCGTTGAGAGGGGAGGAAGGCGGCAACCGAGGTGCTCATCTTATAGTCGAACAAGCTTAGGAAGAAATGGGCCAAAAAGTATACGTGGGGTCTCTGACACCTGGGCCAATCGATTCAAATTAGTTCTATTTTTTTCAAATAAAATGGGTTCAACTGCAATCGCTTCAACTTATCAACCGGCTTATAGCTAAAATCTACAGTATTTTTTTCTCATAATAAAACAGCTTCAACCGACGTGCAGGCACAGCCCGGCCGCTGTTTAGCGGGGCTCCGGTTAGCGGCCGGCTGCCGCCCAGATAGTCAGCACTTTGGGTCCGGACTGTAGACTAACCGTGGTCCGTGGAGATGCGGAGTCACATAGGCACCGCACAATGGTTACAAGATTTTCATTAGAAATGTACGAATAAAACAAATCTTCACAAATTCAAATTATTAATCCATATGAGATGTTTGCACGATTATACTATCTAAACTTGCTAGACTGCAGTGCAAATAGCGTGGCTAGGTACCGTGTACTATCTTTTATAGCATCACAATCTATTTTATTGAAAATAAAAGTTTTACCAGACCGTTATATAAAGTTAGTATCCTTTATTTACATATAAGGCGGTCATGTTGGCCTCAAGGATAACCCACTACTTATGGTCACTAGCGGTGCCAGATGACATCGCAGCGTGGCTATACAACTCCTCAATTGATGTTTATCATGGGAAATAGGAGTGCCACAATATTACCGTGTCTTTTAGTTTCTTTTTTCGTTTCTGTTTTTTTTCGTGTGTATCCTTTTTTTTATTTTTTTTTCTGGTTCTGTTTCCCCCATTTTTTTGTTCTGGTTCTGTTTTTTCGTATATTATCTTTTTCATGCTTTCATTTTTCTTGTTTTTTTTTCATGTTGTGCTTTTTTCGTTGCCATTTAAAAATAGGATAAAACTCAAATATAAAAAGGAAGTTGAATCCATGGCTTTAGCTTTGGATACAGGATTCCACCACTAATTTATTATAGTATCTTTATTTTTACGCATAAGTCATTCTATTTAAGAGTTAGCAGGCGGTTCAACATGCCTGTCTGTAATAATCAAACAAATCAAACTGCTAGGCGATTTTTTGCCTATACATGTACAATGTCATCTCCACCGAGAATTATGGCTCTGTTCGCTTATCTTATAATCCGTACTTTTCAGCTTATTTTTTTAAGCCGAAACAGTGTTTTTCTCTCCCAACAAATCGCGGAGTCGATTTGGAACTTGCTTTTTCAAAGCAAATGAAACAGTAAAATAAAATGGAGAATAGTAAGAGTTAGTCGCGCTCTCACATAGCTTTGGGAAAAGAAACTAAGGAAATTAGATGTAGAATATTCAAAATTTGTATTTGTGGTCTTCACTTTCGAGTACAGAAGGCGAGTGTTTTGTATATGTTTCTAGGTATGGACTATTTTTTTAAATAGTAATACATACATATCTATATGTAATATTATTTTCTCTCCCCTATCTTTTCGTCCCGCCTCACTCTCTCCCACGTCTGTCCGTCCACCACTCTTGCCTTTCTCAGTTGATCACTTTACAAAACCGAGTTTTCTACTCTCCAAGACAAGTGTCTCGTATCCACGCATATTTATATCCAGAAATTAGAATGAGTCCAATACGCATGGAGTCGGTGAAAATAGTAGAACGATTTGGAAACATGTGTATATTGGAGTCTTCACTGGAGCCATCACAGTATTATGAAAAAAGAGTCCAACCAGGAAATGTTTCTTCTGTTTGTTCTTCCATCCTTTTAAGCATAAAAATACTTACATATCTTTATGTAAGTATTAGTACTCCCCTGTCTTTTCGTCCCTAAGGCCCTTCTCTCCCACGTCTGTCCGTCCACCACTCTTGCCTCTCTCAGTTGATCACTTTTTTTCCAAAACCGAGTTTTCTTTTTTCAAAGACAAGTGTCCATATCAATAGTATGATTTATATCCATAAATTATAATGATTCCAATACGTATGGTATATATGTCGCAAGTATGTACGATTTGGAAACATGTGTACATGTTTGAGTCTTTTGGAGCCATCATTCTAAATTATTGACAATAAAAGTTTCCAACCAGGAAAAAGTTATTTATATCTTTTATTTGTTCTTCCATCCTCCATGGTTGGTCATAAAAGTCCTGATCGGATTTACCCAATACTTATGGTCACTAGGGTTCTGACAGATTACTAAGAGTCAATAGTAAGTCCTCAATTGATATTTATTACTAATTTTTTCACTACGCGTCCGTCCGTGACTCAAACTCACGACACATATTTTTATGCAAGTTAAAAAAGATATATCCAACCACATTTTCGAATTTTGATTTTCCAAACGTATTGTTATATAAAAAACGTGTGAGATATCCGGGAGCGCGAGTTGATTTTCGATAAAGTGGAGGCCTTTTTGCATAGCAAAACACATTCTATTTTATTGACAATAAAAGTTTTACCATATCTTTATCTAAAGTTATTTATATCCTTTATTTACGTAAGGCGACCATGACATGGTTGGTCACATTGGCCTCAAGGATAACCCAATACTTATGGTCACTAGGGTGCCACGATGACATTGCAGAGTGTCTATACAACTCCTCAATTAATATTTATTATGGAAATAGGAGTGCCAGAATATATATACAGTTTATAATAAAATATCTCATTTTCATATTATTTGTGTTATATGCAAAAAGTTTGGATAGTTACATATTTCACCTTTACAGCAATATTGTCATAGTTCCATAAATTATTGTGATTGTTAATTAATATGATGTGGTAGGAACCATCCAAATTACCTCTATTAAACTGGATTATCGTCAACTGATGACCCAACTTAAGCATAACAATCATGGTAGTCCCCGATATGATCTCATACAACTTAGGAACAACATGCATATTACTTGCACAATTAAGTAATCATTATATGGATACATGATAGAGCAAATTTTTAAGACGATTATTACATGTCTTGATTATATTGCAAATCTCAAGCTAAATCTATACATACATAATATTAAAGAGGCAAAATTTCTCTCCACCCATTTATCTGGTCCGGCCCTCTCTAACTAACTATGTGAATATGGAAATTATTACGCACATAGATAAGGTAACCTAGATAGCTACGAATACAAATACTAATCCAAATAGATCCCTTCCATCCTGAATAACCTGAATAGGAATCCTAATTCAAATATAAAAAGAGAAATAAAAATAGAAATCTGACAAAGCTTATCATAATATCAAATCACGAAGAGTTTTGGGTTTCAATCCTTTTTTTTGTTTTCCTATTTTCTTATTAGCGTGAGAAGTTTCTTTGTATTTTTTTGTCCGCATTACCGTATCCGATTGGCTTACTTTTTTTTCACGATCCTCTTTTTCCACATCCAATTGCATCTGTCATTAACTTCCGATTGATTTTTCCGTCCTATTTTCTTTTTTATCATATAAATATTAAAAAACAAACAATAGATATAATAATAATAGTATAAGTAGTTGAAATTCATCTCTTCCTTAAAAAATAGAGATTTACACCACCAAAGTTATTGATGCAATTTTGATTACAAACAAAACTTATCTTATTATAGTCTGATTTAGCTGATGATCTAATAACTAATCAAATCGTGAACTACAATCTAGATCAGTTTGTTGTCCATATCAGTCTAAATAAATGTGTCTAATATGCATGTACCAATGTAATATTAAAGTGATGATATAAAATTAGCTTATGTTATGAATGTCATAGTTATCATAAATTAATAAATTATAGCTTCAAAATTCTATAGAAAGAGTGAAACGTAAATAGATATGTATCATTTCAGTTTTCGATTTTGATGAATACTTTATAGCTTTTTTCTCCAGTTGCAACGCACGTGCACGTTAACTAGTCTATATAAACTGAAACTCTTGTGTAACCTAAATGTGACGTGTAAATTAGATGGTTATCCTACCATTCACCTAGGTTGAAAATTCTACATTACTAATTGTCACTTCTCTAATCAACTAGTAGGTGTCGTTGCCCATGAGCAGCATCACCATAAGCTAAAAGGAGGCTCTTGCCATTCATCCGCTTTGCTGATTTTGGTGGAACGACGTGACTGGCTGACTGCCAAAATCTTTTAGGAACAATAGTGTACATGCAGGACTTGCCCAAATATGTAACAAAATAGAATGCTTTAAGGCCTTAGCAAGGCAAAGACGTGATACATTTGCATAAATGAGATCTTGAAAATAATCAAAAGTGAGCATATGATTTGGCATATCTATATTTAGGTAAGAACGTCAATTATAACATGTGCATCATGAGTTATGTGCTTAACATGAGTCATCATATTCGATAACTCTATGCTGAGGCCAACAAGATAAGAGATGGCCCTTCCGTGTAGCATGCTCGTCCCACCCCTTCCCGGTTGGATTGTTTCCCTTGCAATGAGGGTATCCGGGTCCATAGTAATGACAACCATCGTTCGTCGTTGTCATTCAAAAGGTGCAGAAATTGGTGGCGGTGGCTAGGGTTTTGATGGAAATGGCGGAGAAAAACACACGAACTGGACTCAAACACGATCTAATCAACATCAAGACCTTAACATAGGACACAAAACTCAATACAATGGGCTCTGAAACTTAATTATACAAAGGCTATGGCGTGGAAGGTTTTAGGACACGAAAATAAATACGGTGTTGGACTATGGGATGAAGGCGAAAACACTCGAACTAGGGTAAGATGTGAACCTAATGGTATCACCTGAAGCTTTGATTACCAGATGATGGAGGACAGGTTCCTGATCTTCCATCGGGTGAAGATAACTATCAATTTGGTAGAAGAATGACATATCGATCCGGCTTTAGATCAAAAGATCCGAACCCTACAACCTTAGTACCACGCCTAACATCCGCCGGAAAAGGGATGTTA